CCCCCCCCCAAAGTCCTGTGGAGTGTTTTGTACCAATTGTCCTTAGAACTGCCTAACCTGGGCTGTGTGCTTCAGGCTTCCTGACTGCCTTCATCGGTATGTCCTTTAAATCTGTGTTCCTTAATCCGGTCCTCTGAGACCTCTCCCCCGGAACAAGGAGGTGGGAGGGAGCAAAAACATGGACTGCCTGGGGCCCCCCCAAGGGCAAGGTTGAGAAACACTGCTTTAAGTGTTACGCAGTTCATAGCTGCCGGTGAAGTTCTTGTCTTAATCCCCCACACCCCCAGTGATGAATGTTTTACTGTGTGCTGTTTGATTGGAGCAAGCGGAGGCCGCAATATGCACACTGCAGTGTATAATCACAGTCAGTCAGAAATGGGCGTCTGGAAAATGGTCTGATTTAAAATCAGCCACAGCCACTGGCTGTGATGCCAGTTTACCTGTTTTGTTTGTTCTTAAACTCCAGTTCCTCTGACTTGGGCCTGGGGTTCATCACTTGGTGACGCAGCACTGCCTTTTGCTCAGTAGACACCGTGTTCTGCATCCATGCTGAGATATGCACTGAGAGGGGAAAGTGAAGAATACAAGAGGGAGTTATGGTGTTCTTTTTTTTTGTGGTACCTCTGTCTAATTAGGAGGTGTATGGCGTACATTAAGTTTTATTTATTTTTTATGGTGAGTTTCTGCCGTGAGATGTTTTATAAAACCCTGTGTGGGTCGTGCCCTTGTTGTTAGGGGCTTGGGTGAACGGTCACTTTCTTCTGAGAGATGTACATTTTGTGGGGGGGAAGCACCTTTTATTGATGTCCTGTAAATATTTACTACATTTACATAACGTAGCAGCATGTTTATACCAACAAGTGATTTCCTTTCCGCTTTCTTTTTCTGTAACTTTTTTTCCTTTAAGAACTAAGCGGTGCATGGTTGTTACTTGTCTTGTTTTATTTTCTAAAACAAAACACCAAACAGAAAAAGTGCATCTCTCTGGCCGGTGTCAGATTGTCCGCCGTCGGCCTGAGTACCACACAAAGGAAACCTTCCTTTGACGAGCTGTTCATCAATAAAAGGACGGAGTTTCTTCTCTAGCTGCGTTTTGTGTCTTTAGAGGGGCTGCTCGTGTGCATGCGCATGTGTGGAACTGGTGGTTAAAACGACTGACGGTTAAAAATTCTCATGTAGTTCAAATAATCAAACAAGTAATTATAATTAACGTCTTTTGACCATTTCATGAGGACATACATCGTGCCGAAAGTTAGTATTCCATGCAAAGATTAATCCAATTGATATACAAAGCCCATTTATCCGTAATGCGTCGGTCCCTAAATTAATTTTCGGCACTTTTCATAATAAAAGACCCCTTTCATTATCATCCGTTCGAACGCACCTCCACGTCATTTATCTGCTCATGCGCACCTTTCCGTTCCAATGCGGAAGCGGTACTGCTGTAAGTCGGGTGAAATATTACACAAGACTCCCAGGCCACGTGCTTCTTAAATTACACATATGAGATTCATTATGGCGTTGCTAAAATGTCGCGGCCCCCGTCATATACATCCAGTAAACTTAAAGATGATAAAACTCTCGTATAAGGTACTTCTTGGTTTCATTGTTTAAAGTACCATGAAGTCGCTTAAAACGTATTCCGAGGGCTGCGGCCAGTTTTCGGGTCAATAAATATTTTAATTTACGTATTGTAATTCTTAGTGAAGCATTTGCCGGTGATAATGAAATGTTTAACCGATAAAGCAGATTGGCAGATCATCATCATACCGGTACTCTGTGAATATTTCATTTTACGGTATAAACGTCCACATTGGCACCCATTCATCCAATGCGACATAAATGATCTGGACCACGATCGCCTCTTTATATTGAGAGTAAAAAATGCATTTAATTTACATACCTCGACAACCTTCAGTTGCAGCTACACGTATATGCCAAACATTTACCAAAGAAAGAATTTACTAAGATCTAAACTGCATTCCGAAATTTAACACGAAACGCTTGTCCGTATGTGTAACGTGGAATTTGACGCCACCCCGTGGAATTAAGGTGAATTTTCGTCGAAGACGTCACAGACTGGAAGATCATGGCGGCGTCCTCCAGGCTAATTGCAAGACTGGCTGTCGTCTCGGGTCAGTCAAATTACTCAAAATATTTGCACACTGAAGGAAGTATCTCAACTTTATGCGAACATTGTATATGTACATGCCATATGTCTCTGGGAATAATTCCAAATTCACATGCAGTCACAACCGAATTGACCGACTAGTATTCATAACGTTCTGGTGTATTTTAGTAACTTATCACTCATACACTTGGTAAACTTTGTTGTTTTTACACACAAATATACGATACAATGATACGCTTACTAAAATATGTTCATATGCTCAGTAACTTATCTTGTATGTATATAAAATGTGGTCGGAAGTTGTGGCACAGCACGTTTGGAATATAAGGTCACGTTGTTTAATTTCTGCTTTGCGATTATTTTTGTGATCGTGAATACTGGTGCTATAATAAACTGATGCGATTTTCTGGGCGACATCGCCTTGCATCAACATAACCAGCTTAACATGGAAAAATGATCGACATAACAGAAAAAAATTATATCCACATTTTATATGCAATTTTAGTTTATTTTCAGTGACAAGGCGTAGCTGAGATTTTCGATAAGGAGAACGTAACATTAACCTGGCACTGCAATGACCAAATCTTATTCATTTGTATAACGAAGCTCATTTGCATAGCGAAGTAGTCAGAGGGACGAGCAGATGTCCCCGCTTCAGTCGCCTCTTCCTCAGACACTCGCAGAGGAAACCGAGATTCTCAGACACACAGTCATATGTCCGCAAACACACATACACACCTCGTTTACGGTCACGTGGCCTCCGTATTTATATCGCTGAAGGGTACGCAAGCAAGCCAAGGGCGTCCTTGGGAACCAATTGAATGGCTGCAGTGAAAGAAGGAGACAGCTGGCAACAGAAGGGGCTTGAGGGGACCTGTTCTTTATACTATTTAAGACCTGGAGTGAACTCTGGGCCTAACCTTCCTGGGTTTTTTTTGGACTGTAGAGGACATCAGTATCATGACCTTGGGTGGAGGACCCCCACAGTAGTGGTTGCCACAGTGTATAGTTTAATGTTTTTTAAGTCGTTCTGAACAATGTGACTATTCAGCTGATGAATAAGGAATTGTTTTTCATTGAACAGTAAATGTGCTGGACCATGAGCCCTATCTTTTATGATATTATGAAATACTTTTTATTGAACAAATTTTTATTGGTCTATAGTTTGTTTAGGGAGTGACCATATTTGAAGGCAAATTAACATTTACTTGAGCCATTAACATTTACGACTGTGTTGACTACACCCTGTCTTCAGGAGGAGGCAGTGGCATCGGCCGGGCCGTCTGCCAGCGCTTTGCCTCTGAAGGAGCGTCAGTGGTGGTAGCGGACGTCAGTGAGGAATCGGCCAATCGGACTCTCGGTAGCCTGTCACATGATCATCGGGGTCAGGAACACATGGCAGTAGCTGTTGACGTGTCATCACGAGACAGTGTGGAGAAGCTGCTAACCAGAATACAGGTGTGACTTAATACAATAAGAAGGGATTATAAGTGATGTTTTTAACTGGATGACTGTCAAAGATGTTTTCTCGAGTTGAAAAGGTAGACCTGTATTGAACTTTGTAAGATTTAAGATGTGCTTATATGGATAACCTGTCACAATGTGGTGTTCGATCACAGACAGTTGTAAATTTTATTCATGCCGTTAAAATCTGCTTCTTGGTATCCACTCTTCATCCCCTACAGTGCCAATACTACCAGCCCCCCTCCATCTGTGTGTCTGCGGCAGGAATCACTCAGGATGAGTTCCTTTTGAAAATGGAGGAGAATGACTTTGACAGGGTTATCCAGGTCAACCTCAAGGTATCCCCGGCCTATCCTTTCTTTCTTTCCCTCCCACTATTTTTGTTTTTTTGTTTTATATATTCTCCATGTTGGGACCTGCTGTGCTCCTCTGCTACTTTAGTGTGAGACACTGATGGATAACAGAGATTACTGATCTGCTATCGGGCTATGTAAGATAATCACTTTCTGTTCGTTGCACAGCTGCTGCCAAATGTTAAGCAGACACGAATAGGCATCATCACAAGGTCTGTTTCTCTTTCTATTTCCCAGGGTACTTTTCTCCTGACTCAGGCCGTTTCTAAGGCCCTTGTTGCCAGTGGCATCTCCAAGGGCTCCATCATCACTGTAGGAAGCATTGTGGGCAAAGTGAGTCGAATGTCTTTGCTGTGGGCATCAGCATGGGCTGGGTGAGTCAGGCCGTTAGCGCTGTGCTGGTATTCAAAGGGAATCTGTGCTTTTAGGTGGGGAACATTGGCCAGACTAACTACTGTGCCTCCAAAGCCGGAGTGGAGGGGTTAACGAGGACTGCGGCGAAGGAGCTGAGCGGGTAACAGAAGCACATGGCGCCCAGTCAGACACCGACCCAGCTAATGGTCAGAGAAGCCTGTACGCAGGAGAACACTGCAGTACATTAACACCTTAGACTAAGACGGGGCTTTTCATCCTTAAACTAGGGAACCCTGGCTGAAAGCGGACGATTTGATTTACAGCAGATGATTGGATAAAAACCTATGCATAATTGAGAAAGTAGAGTCAGCCTCAGCCTCAGCCTCAGCCTCGTGCCACTCGCCTCCCCGTCCTGCAGGTTCGGCATCCGCTGCAACTGTGTGCTGCCAGGTTTCATAACCACACCGATGACCGACAAGGTGCCAGAGAAGGTCATCAGCAAGGTCAGGAGTCTAACTAATTATTCAGATCAGTGTTTCCCAGTCCAGTCCTCGGGGACCCACAGCCGGTCCACATTTTTGCTTCCTCTGAGATCTACATGCTATTGTCTCTGCCAGACAGCTAACTGTGGACTGTCTGAGGGTCCCTGAGGACCAGACTGGGAAACACTGGTTTTGATGATTTTTTTCCACCTTTTTTAGCCATGTTAAATATGCAGAAAACACGTCTACCTGAAAAATGTGTTTATAATCTGCATGCATAGTGTTGCACAGAGGTGTGCTAACAGGTTGTGTGTTGTGTGTAGATCACCTCCCTGGTGCCCATGGGGAGGATGGGAGAACCAGCAGGTGGGTCGCTGTGTGATGGCAGTGCATTGTGGGTACTCGTGTTAAGCATGATACCTTCAACTCTTACTCCTGATTTCTCTCACCTGCCCTTGCCCGCCTGCTCTTGGTAGAGGTAGCAGATGTGTGCACCTTTCTGGCTTCGGACGAGAGCCGCTACATCACTGGAGTCAGCATTGAAGTCACGGGTAAATTTCCCAGCATGTCTGAGACACGTGCCATGCAGATGTCAGACCACAGTCGCTGTAAAGGAAGCACTAATACTGAATGCACTGCTTGAAGTACCTTTGTTAACAGCAGTAACAACACTGTCGAGGCAAATGTTACTGTAATATACGTACAGGCTGTTTTTATGAAGACAAATTCAAGCCTTAGTTGAATATATATTTATTAATAATAGAATATGTTCTTATTTTAAATCCGCAAATAATTAGATGTTGTCGTTGTGGTTGCAGGAGGCCTTTTCATTGGCTGAAATTTGACCTCGTCTCTTTGGCCAGACCAATGGAAGACAAGGTTACAGCCTTGGTGCCTTTTTGTCTCTTTAATAACAATATTTGCAATGTGAACCTTAATTTGCAAGTCAACTTGAAGAGATCTGTATAAATAGCTGTGTATCTATAATGAATTAAAATGCAGTCATATATGTTATGTTTTCACTTTTGCTACTCTGAGAATAAGATTATCCAAGGACAGGAATGTAAAGGACTGACCTTCAGTGCTAAAGCAGACATTCATCATTTCATGTGCTTCAGTTTTGCTGTGTTTAGAGGAATCATCTGTCTCGTGCCATTTCTAACAAGGATTGCTGGGAATGATCTTCATAATCGGCCAGATGACTCAGATGGAAACTGCAGCATTATAGTCAAAGAGCAGTGACTAAAGGGGGGAGAACTGTGACTCCTGATTGCACTTCACAGGAAAACTGATTCACAAGAAACTGATTTTTTAGCGTCAGAGGTGGAGGGCTTAAGTTTTGATGGTGCTGTGTAGTCAGAGCTTACATACGAATGAACAGGTTTAGACTGCACAGTGACAGAGACTGAGAAAGTGCGTTGGCATGTGGTTTAATGAAGGGCTTTGGGGGAGGGACAACAATAGGCCAGGAATGGACCAAGACAGTCAAACCTGGGCCAGATAAAAGACCTAGACCAAAAACAAACCCAAACAAGTAAGGCATTGCTGTTAAAAGTGAGGAATGTCCAGCTGGAAGGGATGCTAGGAGGCTGAGGATAGATGTATGGCTGGGTGACCAGGTGAGTCGGCAGGTGGGTTCAGAAGCGGGGGCCTGGTCTGTGACAGTATTTTGGATAAATACAGAGTAAGTCAGCTTGGGAGTGCAGCTTGGGTTAGAGGAGTCAAAACGAAAGTGTATGTGAAGAATGAGGTTTCAGTTTACTGCGGCTGTAGAGCTGCTATCAGTAAGAGAGAGAGAAAGGAAAACATGCTTCATGCATTAACAGGAAAGCAGGAAAGGGGGACAAAAAAAAACAAGGGAGTCGAGCAACTCTTTAAAAAGATTATATATTACAGAAACATTTTCCCAAATAATTACACACATTATAAAATACTTCTTTTCCTTTTTCAGCACCATATTTTGTCTAAACGTAGCCGTTGGTCTTACAAAACACAAACAGATCTTAACGGTGATATACCTTTGAGAATTACAAACAGTTTTTGAGCACCAAGGTTTTCAATATTGTCCCTCCCCCTTCCCCACCCCAATAAAGCAACAAATAAAAAGAAGAAACATTTCCCAAAGCCATTTATTTGCCCATAAACAGCCCCCCCAGACTGATCCCACATAAGCTCCCTTTCATTTATTTTTCTCTCACATGCTGTTCCCTGCTTTTCCCAGGAGTTTTAAAGAAGCGGCCCCCCCCCCCCCCCCACCTGGTCTCTCCACATCCCTCCCACTAAGCTGCTGGGCCAGACCACAGCCCAAGCACTTGGTTAACAATGAGAAATGAGAGGAGCAGAACGCCATCGTTTAATCGTCACGATAACGACAAACGAAATAGTACACAGTGCAGTGTACACATTCGAACTTAAAACAGCGGTCACCGTGCATAGTCCACTGTGGCCTCATTTTTAATATACGTATTTGATCTGGAAGGCGAGAGAAAATTGAATGAAATAAATAAAGAGGAAATACCACATTTACTGCCATATTTAGTTGGAGTTTTAAGCACCCTGTATTTTTAAATAAATAAAATAGTATTTCTGTACATATGTTTGTAATGCACAACTCCAGTCAGAAAACTGATCATTGCAAGTTTTACACTTAGATCTGTGAATCTCCAAACGTTACAGTATTTGATCACATGCATGTAATTATCGCTTTTGACAACTCACACCCCATATGGAGTCCATACCCACATTAAATCTGATATGTTTTGATCCTAAAACGAGGCACTATGTCAACAAGCATGTTACAAAAATGTAATCTGAACTAAAACTGTCCTGACTGTATCACTCCATAAGCCAAAATTGTTTTAGCGCAAGAAAAGTTAGCTTGTTAAAATAGTGACCGGTTCTTGACAGTGATGGTTTTAATTCTTTGTAGCACATGTACAAAACATTAATATCTGGTACAATTTGCAAGGCTAAATAGCTTTGGTTCTGCAGTATTTACACAAAGCTGTGTTACCATCTCTTACTGCGAATGCATGTACAGCACCCAAGCATGCTACAATACTGACACGAGAAGCGGCCATATTGTCCCTAAGATATTCCTGTTAAAGACTGTATTCTTTGAAACAGCTCACGGAGGCTGATAGCCGTTTGGTGTCGCACCTCAAGTTTAAGTAAGCTGAGTAAGTCCTCACAGTTTTCTCTCCTGTCTTCTTGTTCCCTGTAGTATGAACTGTCACCTTTAGCAATATGGCTGACTGATTGGCTTTAGTAATATGTGGTGAAGCTGTATAATACTGAGTAAAGCCAGCTGTAGCCAGACATCAATGAACATAATATTCACAGATGGAAGACGTGGGAGTGTGAAGGAATTCCAGCGCGTGAGCTTCTGTTCCATCAGTTTGGTCTTCAGACTGTGTGGTTCCTCTTCATATTTTTGGATCGACTCTGTTCTTTCGGTCTCTACTTTTGAAACAGTGTAACTCTGTTAACTCCCAAGCTTTTCTCAGTATACCTTTCTGTCAAGCAAGACAGGAAGTGAGGTAAAGGAAGACTTTAAGTGAGAGATGGAGAGACGTGGGGAAAGGGGTTAGGGTGACAATTTGAGAGAGAAACAGCAAAACAAAGGGAGTAGTGAGAAGTATATCCAATATCAGGGCTTTCTCGAAGTTAAAACTTTGGCGTCAGCTGCTCAATTAAAACACTGTTTTATTCTGTTTTGGTCGGAATGCTATTTCCCTTCCTTAAGGTAGATCTCTACTCTCCACAGCACGAGAGTGTACTTTTGTTCTACGTTTCTCTTCTTCTGTTGTCCATCTCGTGTTAGAAGATTTTCCTGGTTGTTGACTTCTGAGTGAGCACATGACTGAGTGTTAATGCGTCCTTTACCTTTCATGTTAGTAGGATCTCAATGAGTGTCTGTGTCTGATTGTAGTGCATGTATTTGCCTACCTTGGTGTTCCCGTGTGCATCAGTGTAAATGAATGTATGACTGTGTAAATATGTGTGTTTTAACCCAGGAAACAGACAGGTCCAACTTCAAAGCCAAATTGTTGGTTTTTCTCCCCAAAGTCTGAGATCTTGATGTCCAACAGGGGGAGCTGTTCCACCTGGGGTGTGTTTACCTCCAGCACCGTCCTGTCAAAACCCTTGCGATACTAGAGTGAGAGAAGGGGAGAAAAGTTGTAGGGGACAAGGTTAATTATTGATTTTCTCTCACATTAATTATATAAGTTATAGTTAGAATAAGCTATTATGTTGTATAAATGTATTTTTCTAGCCTAATTTACCTAATGAAACAAAAGGCTTTACCACAGGGTCATGTAAAATGTGACAAAGATGGGGTGGTGACACATGCAGTACAATATCTACAACAGTATTTTTATGGAATTGTAACACCTACTATATGTCTGTTTTAGTGCAGGGACATTATCTAGCATTTAAAAGCAGCTCTTAATAGAGAATAACCAGCTTATTTGCAGGGTAATGTCATTTGAGGTAATAGCTTATCAGAGTATCATTAGCCATTAGATGTGTAAGGACTTACAGAGCAGCCATCAATGAGGGCCTTGATGTAAGGGCTCGTCTCATAGCCCAATTCCTTTTCGTCGGCCCCCAGGAATTGCAGAGCCCTCTTGTGGCCATCTTTGGCAGTGCGGTCAGCCCAGGCCACAGAGCGGTGGCAGTGGTAGGTGAGGTTCTGTCGGGCCTGGACGCTCAGGAGGCGGATGAAACCCAGCTGCACCACACCCACAGGCTCCCCGTTGGAATCTACGTAGGAAAACTGGGAAATTGGAAGAGGAAGCCCTTAGTCCTCATATTGAACGCTGCAAAATTTACTGTAGTATAAATATGCATTTTTAGATAAAACGGACAAATTCTCACTTTGCTGCCTGTTGCAAACTGGCTGTACCAAGAGCCAGGAGTCTCCTTAGGCCAAATGTCCATCTTTACCTGAAGTCGGGGGAGATAGGAACAGTTTCACAGTGTGTTGTGTGCTGTATTAGAAATGTTCTGTTGACCAGCTACACCTGGGTCCTCACCGAGTCGCTGCTCTTGCTGGGGTACAGGCAGGTCTCGCCACCAGCGGTGAAATTGCAGAACACTTTGAAGGAGTCACGAGAGCAGCCCTGGTTCGGATCAATCCAGTATTCGCCTGCACAGGGAAAAAGAAAGCCTAGCTAAGCTCAAAATAAATAAATCACAGGGCC